ATGACTCAAGTATTGAATGATTTCTAATCTTTATTACAATTCTTCTCTTGCCTACTCACTTTCACTACAAGTGCATTTTCATTCATTGAATTTTAGCACTTCTGGATGTTTTTGCTGTTCCGCGGAATCGTTGGAATCGGTGAGGCATCCTATTCGAACGTATGTCCATCGATGATTTCGGACATGTTTACCGGTCCCACCTCGAAGTCGCATGTACATGATCTTTTACTTCGCTGTACCCGTTGGAAGGTACGTCTGTGTTTCACGTAGGAACACTGCAAAAACTTTCCCGAAGAAGTTGATCATTTCCATGGTCTGGGCGGGCATCTCCTCAGCTGTGGGAGGGTGCAAATTTCTCCAATTTGAAGTGGGTTGCATGAGACTGTAAAGTCGTGATAGCGGGATGAGGACACGAACAAGCGGCGTCGCTAGTTACGGCTAGGCGCATAAGCAGTAGTGCGGCGTGTTGGGCGTATGTGGTGTGCTTTGCTTGCGGTCTGAAACATGAGGGGCATTCAATGATCGCAACGAAGGGGAATTGAGTGATCGTAACCCTCCAGCTTTACTGCCACACACTTCAGTGGGGCTGAAGCGAAACTTTTCAGGAGCTGCAAACCTGCCCACTCTGTTCATGGAAAAGATCAAAACCGCATGTGCACACTAGATCCTGGAGATGGGAAGGGTGTTTTGGGACTTCGTTTGTACAAGGCGGCTATAGATACTTCCGTGTCAAGACAATTGCAACCCCGCTTCCGCTCAGCATAAGACAAGATGGCAAATTACTTAACTGAGAACACTTCATGAGAAAATGAAAAACATATGCTGCAGAATGTTCAAATAGGACACGCCCTCTCCAACTACGATATATGGGATAGGATAAGTATAGGAGTATTCGAACAACCGTAGTAACACTCGACTGACATTCCACACTACTCGCATCGGTGGGTATCTTACCCTCACCAAGCAAGCCATTCTTTTTGGCGAGTTGCTCTCCTCGAAGGCGTAAAGGGCGTACGACTCCATCCATATTGTGGAATGGAATGTGTTTTTAAGTCTCACTTGGCCACTGCTGAGCTTAAAAGGTGCATAGCTGTATTGAGAACCTGTTTGACGTAGTTCTAATGATAACCTTCTGCTTCAGTGGTCTTGGTTTTGTCGTGGGTTCGAATGTAGCCAGCCTGCTGAATGCTTGGCAATGGGGAGTACGTGTCACTGCAGTGGCCGGTAATTCTTCTTTCTACTACAACCCCTTGTCCTAGTACGAATATTGTCTATCATCTTACTTATCTGAAGGTATCGGGGCGTTGGCGTTGTTGGTTCTTGTGGTTGATGAGCCGAAACGAGGGGGTGCCGAAATCACCGCAGGAGCACATCTTCAAGGAGAAGTCGCGACATCGTACTGGACGGACATCAAATCACTTGCTACAACGTGAGCAAAACTGAGGCAACCATCTCGAATTTTTTATGTCTTCAGACTTACTAGTATTCCTTTTCAGACCCACCTTCATCACATGCACATGGGCGTATACGGCATTGATCTTTGTGACCGGTACACTGACATGGTGGGAGCCGACCATCATCGCACACTCTATAGCCTGGACTCAGGGCCTTAACGACACTCGCCTTCTCCCCAGCAGTAAGAAAGACCAGTATGTTTCCGATAGTTTCGAAAGAATTCCATCTTATTTGAACAAGAAAGAAGGATATCCCGGCTTCAAAATACAAAAGCTTGTTTTTCCAGAGTCGGCTTAATCTTTGGACTGATTACTACCGTGTCCGGACTAATTGGTGTATCAATAGGAACCCTTCTATCCGGTGTAAGTTCCCCGAATTAGTTATTTGGCTAGACCACGGATGTAAGGTTCTGTTCTAAGTTCATGAGACTCCGGTTAAAAGTGCCCGTTGCAGCTGATCAGAAGTGGAAGAGGCGTTTTCCGCGCTGTGAAAACGGAGCGAGCTCAGCCAATTATCTCCGGGATAGGAGCTCTCCTTGCAGCTCCACTCCTTCTTCTCATCTTCCTATTTGGCCACAAAAGCATTATTATGCTTTGGGTTTGTCTCTGCACAGATAATGCAAAGAGTTTGAATCCAAGCGAAGAACATTGCAGATTTTGATGTTCTTCTCATGACATTCTCTGCTTCAATTTGGCTTGAACGTCACATGCTGATGTATGCGTATACAAGCAAACCATTAGTTATTGCGATATAAGCACGTTCAACAGTGAGAGAGCAGAATTGAATTAGCATTTTCGTCTTGAAGCACAGCCCACATTGAACCGCATGGAGAGTAGGCGCTCAGGGTTATTTGATACGACGGGGAACGTATGCCGCACTGCTTCTTCTGCAGGCTCCAGAGGAGCGTAGCTTATCCAAGCATGCTTATGCAGAACATTCCCTTAAGCCTACCCTCCCTGAACAGCGTAACATGCTCGGGACGACAATGTGGCTAGTCGCTGACGCGAAGGCCCTCGAGCGGGGCATTTTTTCCGCGAGGGAGGGATGCAGGTTTATCAAAAACAATCGTAGATGCAACTATCAATAAAATTGCAGTCATGTAGCGAATCTGTACTGCGCCCTCAAACCACGTAGAGGGAAAAAAAAACTCAAAAGAAAAGAACAACCGGAAAACTTTCTCTGGCGCTGCAAAAATTTCTCCAAGAGATGCAAACCCCCCCCCCTCACGGATACTCTCAGCCTACGTAAGTGCCTGGCCTTCAAGACATCACAATCCTGCTGGCTGATGGCCGTCTCAATGGCCCCCTCCTCATTCTCTCCATGGTAGAAGCAGGAAGGAAGCACACCAGACAAACACAAGAGGACTGTATTGGCACCTATACCGAGCTCCTCTAAGATCGAGGTAGAGGTGGCTTCATCTTCAACATTAACTGAAGGGGTCTATGCTCGGTGAAAAATTGTTACATCCTAACTCAACCAGCTGTCTTTCTCTGTCCAATCAACAAGATGGACAGTTGTCCCAGATGTGGAATCACGATTAACCAAACCTGCATTCAAATGCCACGTTCCTACTCTGGCCTAGGGATAAGAAGAGTACAAGACAGACGGGAAATACTACCATAAAAAATCAACTCAACATGATAAATTTCTTTTTCCAGAGCGTTATTGTACCTTCACGTCGAAGCACAGCCTTCTCATACTTCATGCTAATATCTCACTTGTTTGGTGATGCCACAGCCCGATATTATTTCGCGATGCGTATAGTTCGCAAGAAGATAATATAATTTTTGGATTATTCATTGGAATACGTTAAACCGACAGTCCTACTGCATCTTACAGTCATAACTTCTTAGATGATGGACGAGAGACGGGGTCGGAACCAATGTTCATAACGGCGCTTTATCCCATCAGGGCCAGGCTCCCGACATAACTGGTTAGAAAGCTGCCAGGCTGCGCACAATTCACAGTTCCACATTTGCACGGGTGAGGACTAGAACCCAACAAATTCGTAAACACAAGGACTGCTTGGTCATTCCTGGTCTTCAGAAAACTGAATTTTGAGACATCTGCAGAGATTCTATCATTGTTGAATTCACTGCATCAATTGATAAGTTCAGATTGGATAAGATCCTAGCAAAGGCATTGTATAAGGTCCTAACAAAGGCATCAGGAAAGAAAATCCTTGTTAATCATGAAAAGTTCTGTCGAAATTGCCAGTAGCAATAAAATTCCTCTTCATTTTTTGAGGTTTCGGACGCGATTCGTGGCCCAGTGAAGACACCCGAGACGCAATACCTTTCACTGATCAAGGCCTGCGCCGTGACCGTGGTACTGCTCTGCGTATCGGCTGCACTGTACTTCGCTTGTGCTGCAGTATTGATTAGAGATCAATACAAGTTCAAAGAGGAAATGGGTATGGTACGCTTATTCAGCTCGGTTTCTACCAAAAGTGCGTTCAGAGTGTTGAGTGGCGTGAATCAAAAACGTTAACGTCTCCCATAAAGCCATGAGTTTTTCATCATTTGAGCTTTTTACATTTCCTTGGTTTGAGGTATGACTAGTTATGTCAACTTTTACTTTTAAACGCAGTCATATTCCGCGGGCGGAAGAAGAACGTTATCTGTTCCTCAGGCTACGCCCCTCCTGCTAAACTGTAGAGAGAAGGGAGTGGCAACCCAACCTAGTCCATTTCAAGCAAGAGGCCTAATTAAACATACAGTCCCCATTGTTGCAAGACGAGAGGGCATACGGAGAGGGTGGAGTGGAGTGCAGCTGGGGGAACCGTCTCCACCATTTGTAGGCTTATGGTGGCATAATTGGTGAAAAAGGCCGCACTGACTGCACTCGAGTCCACGCCCCCCTCCCCCCAAAACACTGCCTTTCTTGTAGGAATAATAGCTATAGCCCTGTCAGCGATTCTTAATTGCTCTTATCGCTATTAAGTCAATTTCGAACCCATTATTACAGCACTGCCGTAGTATAATAGAGTTAATAAAGTTTGGAAATAATTCTTCGCATTGAACTAGAAGCAAATCCACAGCCTGAAAACATTCGACAATTTCAGGTCTCCTAACCAGCTCGCTAAAAAAACCAGCCTCCTCGAATTCATCAATTGAAAGGCTCAACACCTTCGCCGATGATGACGACGTGGAAACAGCCGATCAAAGGCTATGACTGATTCCAGAATTATCGCATGGAGAAGGCATATTCTAGATCACTAGAAATCGCCCACACAGCTGCCGGTGCAGCGGTTCGACAAGCCACTGTTTCGGTGGCATAATGATCCAGTTTGTGTTATCACTATTAACCGTTGATCCGCTTTCTTCGGCAGAATGAGGCCTGCACACTGCTTCAACCGTACATCATAATCACACAACGGCTTCTGAATGTTTGCGATAAAAAGTTTTTAATGATCTGACTTCAAAGCATTTAATCACATTTTTATCACAGAGATGGGCAAGGCGTGGCTTCGTTTGAAGAGCCCTTTTTGAGCAGCTTTTGTCGCTTACCTCATGCAGCAATCAGTGGAGAACGAACTGGGGGCGCGTCAGATCCAGCCTCTATGACAACTATTTCATCTGCAGCGAGTGGGACTGTATTCACGCAAACTCACAACTCACAATCAGTGACGAAAACCTTTTTTTCTACTTCAGGAGTCCATGAGCCCGCGGAAGTCACGATTTTGACCAAATCGTTCGCAGCTGTTCGTGAGCTAACTCATTGACTTCAAAGAAAGCAAGCAGTAATAACTACTGTGGCCTAGTGTTATTCCTAGCATAATCGGTAATAAAAGATATGTTTATTCTTAATATCAATTTAATCATAAATTAGTACACGTCATCTCATTATCAATTGTGGTCGCGCAATTTGAGTAACAAGCAATCAAAAACTACTAGGAAATTTCCTTCACTGCAGGGGAGTGAAATGTTGTTTCTTCGGCGACATCTATAGTGATGTAGAGTGATCGTCCGTCGATTAGATCCAGCGCATAGCTGACTAGCATCATCATCACAAAAAGCCATTCCGAAGAAGGCTACCGTGGAGAACACTGAAAATAATCTTCATGAGAACCTTGTTCGCTGCGGAGGCTGGAGCGTTTTAGGAGAGCAGGGGTTCGCCGCGGTGCCAGCCCCTTCTCCACCCGCTGGTCGCCCCACCTTCCTCCACACTGGTAGAGAATAGGTTGTCGCCAGGACAAACCCAACGCCTTTAAGGACGCCGCAAGCATTCCTAAAGAAGCAGACTGTACGCTTGGATCGACCACCTTCAATGCTCTAATTAGACCCTTTTCTTTTGCAGTGGCTTCTAAGCTACAGGCGCACCTGCCTCATGACCAAGGCGTCAGCACCTACCGCAGTGATTGTATTCATCCTACCCCCAAATTATTTGTTAAAGTTGCCTTCGGAAAGAAAAATCGGTGAAAAGAATCGGCTGATTCTGAAAGATTTCGGCAGCAGTGAGTAGTGCAAAGTAGGATTTTGTCGCAACTGTTTTTCTCGCAATAAGAGGAGCTGCTCACTTTGGAGGGGCATTTGGCATCCTCACTGTTTCATTCTGTTGTTTAATGTTTAATAACAGGAACCTTTAAGCTTCTGTGGAGCTATGAAACGGTGCGAATGAGCTACTTTGGTCACAGGAATTCACTGGTCCTCACAAAGTGGCGAGACCATGCTCCGTCGTCTAGTGCACCCACCAAGTCGAACTGCGCCCAAAAAGTTTGCAGGGGGAGGGGGCATGTGGCATGCTACTCAGAAACTTACCCATTTGATCGCAAGTATTGTGAGCGACAAACTTCTTCCAGTTCTCCACGATATATCGTCCGATG